GTTGATCTCTCAGAAACTTTGGAAGGAGTTAAGGCAGCAAATTCCAGATTTTATCTTTCTGAGCCTTGCGGCATCAATGCCAGAATGAACGGTGGTTAGCGGTAAGACTATGATCGTCATCAGCTTATCAACGGCTTAATATACCAAAATCATGTTACGAAATTTAATAAAATCATGTTTCAACAATCTCCCTCAATTTAAATTTAACTTCGTTATACCAGTTTAACTATAAAGATCTAATTGTAATGAGTCTTCATATTTAAATATCCAATTGAAACGAAAAAAAAGTAAATTTTTTTTAGAAAATCCAACATAAATAAAATATATCTCATTGAGTATGTTAATTTTTCTTGGACGAAATTTCTTGTCAATAAATATAAATTTTTAATACAGAGAAAATAAATATTCATGTATGTGATTCTTTTATATATACTGGTATTCTTAAATATTTTCAATTTTGAATATATTATATTCTTACACATAAAACACAAAAATGTTAATTAAATTTATACAATTATTGTTTTCATTATTCAAATTAAATTCAATAAAGTAAAGTTGATTTTATTTGTGATAATTATATTACATTTGAACACATCTATTGTGGTTGAGTTACAAAGGCTTACTAGCTATCCACCTGCTGAACATGGCGTAACCTTCATCGGGCTTGTACTCAGGAGCTGTGTGTCCTGAACCCTATAAGCAGAATAAATATTAATATATTTTATTTTTAAGATAACAAAGAAACACAATCTTGATAAACAAAATATAGTTCCATTAATTATATTTAAATTTCATCAAGTAATATAAGGAAAGAACAGTTAAAATATCTAAATGGGATGCTGATATCTTACCTTCACAGTTGCAAATGTCATTTGATTAGAGTATCTTCTTGTGTATCTGCGTAGAATCCAAATTATGCACAAATATAAGACAGATCATTGTAAAGATCGATCTGCTATTTAGTTTTGCATGTAAAATCAGTAAATATTTATCATATATGAATTAAAGCTAATGTTTGATTCTCACCCTGCAACTTGGTTTTCTAGAAGCCATGGCCTCCAATCTTCTACAATGGAGTAGTTCAGAGCTCTGATCCATGCTTGAGTCGACATGAAAGGAACAACTGCATCATGATCCCCACTGCCAACAAAACACCAAACATCCTTCACAATCTTCAAACACAAAAACATATGCAAACTAACTTTTCAAAACAAAACATATATAACTCTTCACCTATATATTAAAGAACGATATCCTTTCGCACTGAGATTTATATGAAAGGCGAAGCTACTAGAGATCTCATGCTCAAAATCACTAGTCCAACAACGTTCCCATTTACCCTTTGTTCCCTGCCACCAACATACAAAAACTTACCAACATTATTTATATATTTTAGCCTTTGATTTTTCAATTATTTCTAGTACTACTTATGGAAAAATATTTACAAGTAATTTATATTATCATAAAATAGTAATTATTTAGGAATATAAAAAAATATACGTTATGCATTAAAAAGTTATAAATTATTTGTTTTCAAAAATAGTTTTGGGATAGATGATACAAAATGTATTTTAAAAACTCACTGAAAATTAATTTGTAAAACAATTTATATTATAGAGTCAAATAACCTATATATATATATAAAAAATAAAATGTCAAACCTCTCGAATGTGCAGCGATTTGCGAACACTCTCATCGTTGGCCCATTGAGTGGCAAGGAAAAAACCATATATCTACAACAATGTAAAATGGCGAAATCAAATTGAAACCATGGTGGACAAAAAGTTTTGAGAGTGCATTTAAGGTACGCAAGAACTACTTGGCATCTTGTGTCTAACTCTGTGAGACCAGAATTAAGAGAGGACTCAAACTTTTGAGTCAGAGATCTAATCCATGGACCTTCATGTTTCTTAGTAGAATCAGCTTTGCAATAGCGATCCAAAATGTTGAATGTATTGATTCCTGAAAGGCACTGAACATAAGAAACAATATTTATTATTGTGGTGAATAAACTCATCAGGTATAAAAAAACAGAACACAGAATTAGGATGGTCATTACTTGCCTCGTCATAGTAGTTGAGATCTCTTAAACACAATTCATTTCTAAAATCTACATATATGTATTCTCCTTTACAATTTCTCTTCAGTGACTGTCAATACATGAGGTAAGAATATGTCATTTGAACAAGTTAGTTTTGCATAAGTAGCATACTATTTTCGAATAATCAGCATACACTTTTAAACAATCAATGTATAATTTATGAATAAGCAACTTGATTTTATCAGTTATGAATTAGTCATTATATAGATTTTTGAAATAATATAAAGATCTACCACGATATCTCTGAAAATAGCATATCATGTATAACTGATGTTTTGTAGTAACAAATTATTCCTATCATTTATGACTAATTAATATCATTCTCTTAATTTTTTTTAAAAGTAAATGTACATGAATGGTTGATTAGACTGTGCTTATCAATATAAAAAGGATGTCTAAATATTTTCAAACACAATTTAAGTCAACACTTCAGCTTGGTGAGTTAAGAGAATAAGAGAGTTTGTGGGTTGAATTCCACTTAGCATGATATTAACAATAAGAAAAAAGTCAACACTTCAGCAGTTGGGACAAACTTTACTCAAAATTACAATGCAAGTAGCATCCTTAAACAGAAGAAAAACACTTCCATTACCTCATAGAGTTCATCAGAAATAAGTCCCATTCCATGAGCAAATGGGATTTGGTCATTTTTTTCTTTTCTTGTTGTTATTGGGTTCCCTAACAGATATCCCTGAAAATATCTTAAGATCAATTTAGACTTCGGAGTGGTAACTGAAAAGCTATTGCTTGAATGACTTGGGGTTTTGAAAATTGAACTATGTTATTAAAAACTCATTCTCTGGAATTTTATTTTGTTTGTAGTAAATGTAGACAACCAACCTCTTTCTTGTGACAAAACTGTTGGAAAATAAACAAAACAGAAGCTATTCTGTTACAGTGTGTGCATTTGTGAGTCTTTGACCGGTTGTTTCTCTGCATCCTGGTGTTGCTCAGTCGTGCGTGGTGGTGATCTCCAAAGGGGCTGAAACCCTAGCAGAGCTCGGGGTGCTTTCATTCTCTCTGATTCTCATTTTTCTCTGTCCACGTTCTGTCTCTCTCTCACTCTCACGTGCTCACATTACTTTTAAAGTAAAGTAATATCTGAGTGTGGGAAAATACAATTCTGCCCTTTTATTCTAATATGGTATCAAGAGCAAGGTTGCTATCCTGAGGTGTGTGGAAAAGTGAGTATTGTATTCTGGAGGTGTGTGTATCCAGAACTGCAGAAAAGGAGGTTTCTTTGACTGGGTTTAGATCAAAGATTCAGAAAGAGAGTAGCAAGAAAGGATGGCTGGAATTGGAGGAATTCAGGGGTCATTACCTGTGTTTGATGGCAAGAATTTTGCAGATTGGAGGATCAAGATGTGGGCTGTGTTTGGCTTTCAGGATGTGTTAGAAATCATTGAAGATGGAGTGCCTGTGTTGAGTGAAAAGGCAACCCAAGAACAGAAGAAAGAACACAAGATACTGGAGAAAATGGACAGCAAGGCCAGGTTCTTGATGTATCAATGTGTAAGTCAGAAAATTTTCAACAAGATCTCTAATGTTTGAAAAAATAAGATAAATGTGTAAAAAAAAATTTTAAAAAGTGCCAAATAATAAAAATATAGAATAAAAAGAAATTTTACTTATATACTAAATTATACAGAGAAAAAAAATGGGGTGATAATGCTTCTACAAACCTAAGATTTCCATATACTTTTATTGGATTGTTCTGAGATCTACTATGCGTGAAATCAGGAAGGAGATGTAGTGGTGTTTAACGCATTGGAGGGTTTATGGCGTTTAAAAAATGCTTAGATGTACATTGAGATGGGGGAGAGATGGTGGTGTCTAACGTCATTGTGGCTATATTCTCCAAAAAATCAAATCTCTATGGATCACCTCAAACCAGTTCTCCGATTAAACTTAATCACCACCTAGGAGGCAATGCAGGTGACAGTAACAAACACATTGGGCTTTTGTGTCGGCCTGATTCTTTGGTGAAGAGGTCGTTGATCTTGATTTTGGCACATACAACGTGGATGTGGAGTTGCAAATGTCACAAACAATGTAGTAGTAGAACTTGTCAGAATTACGTCTCTTGCACTCGACATAAAGGAAGGAGGGGAGGTTGCAAGTGGTGAAGGAAGTGGCTGGGAGGATCTTGAGAGTGTGGGGATGGGAAGAGAAGTGGATCTTGAACCTTCATTGAACCCTCTTTCTTTGTTCTCTTTTGATTTTGGTTTTTCTTGAAAATTGGGTCACTTTGTATGCCTTGCTAGGTTTTGGATTGTTGGGTGATGAAGATGTAGGTGTAATGATTGAAGAGGAGAGAAACAATGGAAGAGAGTAGATGGGAAAAGAGAGAGATGGTGATGGAACATGTCTTTGATATGCTGATGTATATGGTGGGAGAAGCAAAAGAAATAAAAGATGGAGGTCATAAATTGAATGAGGAAAGTGAATAAATGAGCCACGGGCCAGCTCACAACAATGGCTTACGATCCCCAACAAGCTAACGGGCTAGAAAAATAAGTTAGGTAAATGGGTTCGATATCTTAATCTGGCCCACCTTTTTCTTGACGGGTTGATGGGTTGGCCCGTTAGGTCATACCCATTTTTCCACCCTTAATTGTTAAGGTTGAATAACTAAGGGATCATATTTACTATATTTTAAAAAAGGGTTAAGTATGGTTTTGTTTCCTAAACTATAATGTGATTTTGGTTTTCCTCCCTATATGAAATTTTGATCCATTTCCATCCCTCTCCTTTAGAAGCTAGATTTAAGTGGTTCATAGTCAACGATGTTAGGTTTTTTTTTGGAGTGGCACACTGTTAGCCCTTTATAATCAAAGGCATTGTCAGAAAACCACTCTATCTTCCTTCTATGTGTGGTTCCATCTTCTTCTTAGATCCAAATCGTGACGACCATGAGAGATCTCGGCGGCACTAGCTGCCATCGGAGTCCTTGTTGAGCCTCCATTGGTGTCGAAGAGCCTCCATTATTAGTAGCGAAACTAAATCACGAAGCCAAATCATCATTTCATATCGCGAAACCAAATCACGACTCTTCATTCCTAACCCTAGCCAATAATGCAACCTAATTAGATCAACTGTTATAATGCAACCTAATGAAACCAAATCATCTTTTACATAAAATAAACTTTTTAAAATAATTAATAAATCATTTCATCTAATATTATTATTTTTAAAATAATTTTTTATACTCTAATATGGTTGTGTCAGCTCAGCACTTTTTTAACGCCATTGGGTTTTGAGAACAAAAAATTATGTTTGCCTAAAAGAGAAGGACTAAAAAATACCTTAGGTTGAGAGAGGGATTAAAAACAAAATCGCTTGATAATTTAAGAACTAAAAACATATTTAACCCATTATTTTATCTCTTATATTATTTTTTAAAATAATTTTTTAAATTACATAAAGAGTAAACTACTTTGGATATATATTCTTTTAATTGTTTTAATTTTGTAACATGCATTTTTCTAATAATATTTCACAAAATTATATATTTTTAAAATTTTCTCAATGTCATTTTTTTTCAGTACCGTATATCTCAATATATTTTTTAAATACAGATATGTTTTACACTGTCAGTAATTAATTTATTTTAAGAAGAAGTGCACTCAAAATACGCTTAAAAATATGCTTTTATAAAACTAAATAAAAAATAATACACAAAAAAAATAAATTAAAATATAAAAAAAAGTGATAATGATAAAAAAAATTAAATGAACTGTGAAATTACCAAAACTAGTTGAAGTAAACTTTATTGAGTTATTTTCTAATTTAAATACGTACTAAATATTTAAATCATTGTCTCAAGGGCTTACTTAGACCAAAGAATTACCAACTGTGAATTACCAACTGTTAAGGACTTCTAACTTTTAAATCATATGTCTCAAGGCTTAGACCAAAGAAGGTATAATTAAAAGCTTATATCAAAGAATTTGAAAACTTTATTGATTATGATAAACTTTCATGATAAATTTTCAAATAAACTATTTCAGTAGCTTGTGTTCCTATTGGAAAATTGAGAAAATTGCAGGTTCACATCAAATAACAAAAAAAAATACAAATTGAAAACTGCCTCTAAACACTAATCCTAAGCTGGATGATCAACAAATCTTCTTGATTTTCTATATCTCTTGACATTGGTGAACTATCAGTCTTTTAAGGAGTTTAAAAAATCTATGCCGAACTCAGTCCTCCATTCTTATGCTTGAAAAATCAATGTGTGCACAATCGTCAAATTCGTCTAACACTGTCGTACTTGTCTTGTCCGTGTCTTCATACTTATTTGTTTGTATCTGTCTTGTGTGTTTCATCATTATCCGTCACAACAGGAGAAAATTCACTATTGCCTTCTTTACAGAAGGTTTGCTTTACATGATCAACCATATCTCTCTTGGTTGTAACCACATCAATGACTTTCTCATTACATTTTGCAACAGGAGAAATCTCAGGTACGAACACACTAGGAAATGAATGAATTATGGGATGTGTTGTCGAAACTGAATCAGTTGAAATTGATTCCTTAAGTGTAGGGTTGCTGCCAACGATTGAGTTAATGTTGTAGAAGAATCCAAAATCTGTTTTGTTATTAGAAGGTAGCAACATGTTTGTACCTAAAAATGAGGACAAAGTAAACATATAATTTCTCACATATGAAAACATACTAGTATACATTATACAAACGCAAACAATCATACATTGGACTTGTTTCTTCTTGCCAGGTTGTCTTCCTCGACGCTTCTTAGCAACTACAGACCCATCTACTGTCGAAATATCTTTTCTCTTCTTGTCAAACTCTCTAATCATAGGTGATGAAAAGTTTACATTGGCCATGGGTTTAGCTGGCAAAGACAGTGTGTTGCACAGGAAAAACTGTAGTAGTAGAAGCAACTAGCAAAAAGATGAAAAAAAGTTGAATAGGTCAAAACATGAAAAGAACTCAAAGATTAAAAACCATATTTTAATTCATTAACAACAGAAGATCTGTGCATCTACCTGGGAGAGTTTGATAGAATTTTCCATCGGGAACAATTACAGAATTTGTCATCATGGCTGTGACATTCGACATGGCTGATCTTGCATTGAAACTATCCAAAGCATTCTGATGTCTTGCCAACATTTGGATTCTAATTTTCTCTCGAATCACCATGAAGTTTTCTTCCTCCAAAAAAAAAAAAACCGTTTTTTTGTCTCTTCATGAAATATATATTGGTTAACATTTCTCCAATCAACCAAATTCTGAACATCAAGGAAAAACAAAATTGGATCAAGAAAAACAAAAGTGACGAAGAAAGTGATAATAAATTATATGTGGTTATAACCTTTTACATAAGATTCAAATTTTTTTATTAATTATTATTGAATTTTTCACAAACGGCAACAACTTTTCTGTGAGTCTGGAGAATCTTTATAGCGTTTTTTTACAAATGGTTATTCCTATTTAAAAAAATTGAATTTATTAAATTTATTTGTTTGAAAAATGTTTCTTGAAAAAAATGTTGCCGATAAATATGAAAAATAAATTGTGAATGTGGAAAGAAGAACAAGGAAAAAATAAAAGAAAAGGTTTGGTTAAAAAAAAAAATGAAAAAACCGTGGTTTGGTGCAGATTGAGGAAAGAGAGGCGAACTGTTACGAAGATGGCTTGTGGTTGATAGAATGGTTGCGGACACAAATTATTGATCGACATGAATGGCAAACAAGCGCCGGAGAAACGTTATCCGTTTGCGATGCCATTGAGAATCACACCTTTGCACGCTTTAACAATATCAAATATTAGACTTTTGGAGGAGAAAGAAACAAAATTATGAGGTAGACTGAGAGAGACTACTTTT